AACGATTGTAGTATCAGGCTGCAACATAACAAAATTGAAAAAAGTGAAGGGGGTCTGAATGAATACTTTCCGAATGCACTGTAGTTTTTACAGACATTTATAGAACCAACTTTTACAGCAGCCTTCTCTAACCGAGAAGGGAACACTCCAGAGGTGTCAGGCCAGTTCTCATCTGGCTAGGGGATTACAGAAACTAAAGGACAACTAGCTGCACTAGGTTAGGGAGAGCTGCTTTATTGGCAGTAAAATGGAGCTGAAAAGATTGACTTTTATGTATTTAATTAGACTGCATTTTACTCTTGTATTTTACTTGATTTTAAACCATGGACAGATTTTCTACCATACCATGGTTGTATACTAGTCCAGCAAAGACTGTGTTTGTGGGCATGTGCATATAATTTTTTAAAAACAGTTTTTAGTTTTTACTCTGAACCTCCAGGAGTTCACTCCCCCTGGAGTATAGTGTATATAAAAATTGTCAGTGGATAAAATTACATCTGGCTTCAAGTGTAAAGAATCCTGCATAGGTAGGTTATGTATATATGGATATAAGGCATCCTTCTCAACAATTTCCTGAGTTCTCCCAGAGACTTACTGGTCTTCCTATGGCTTTATGATAATCACTGCAACTATGGGACAGAATGCCCAAATTTAATTTTTTCCCTTATTAGTAACTGCATTTGAGTATCATTTACATCTTAATTGCCACATAATAACATCACATTCAGATTAAAAACAAGGATGATGTCATCTGAAAGCCAGTTTGCAATGCTTGTATGTTTGGGTTTTAGAAGTCTCTGACATACAGTTTTACTTTGAAAAAGGGAAAAGTCACACAGCATAGAGGTAAAATCCACCTGCTGCTTTAGCTTTTCAGTGAGGTACTGGATGGTAAAAATCAGGTCTACAGGTAGTCCTTGACCTACGACCATTTGTTCAGTGACCAAAGTTATGATGGCACTGAACAAATAGTGGTTATGACTGGTCCTCTCAGTTCCAGCCATTCCAGCACCCCTGCAGTCATGTGATTGTGATCTAGGCACTTGGCAATCGGTTTGCATTTACAACCAGTTGCAGCACCCTGCAATCACATGATCGCCATTTGCAATCTTCCCTGCTGGCTTCCCTAGAAAGTCAATGGGGAAGCTGGCAGGGAAGGTCACAAGTCGCTGGGATAAGTTTCCCCCACCCATGTATCCTCCCCTAGCCCTTCTGCACTCACACTTTACCAGCCACTTGCACACCCCTGCACACCCTCCCCAATGTTTGCCATGCCTCCCTCGCACCCTCCCCGACCATGCCTCTTGCACACCCCTGTGCACCCTCCCTGACTCATTCCACACCTCTCACACACTCCCTCGCACTCTCCCCAGCCCTCCCTCACATCCTTGCTGATCCTCCCCCACACCCCCACGCATTCCCTCCCCCAACTGGCAGCAGCCACTTACCTGCCTGCCAGACTGGGACTTCCAATTTCCTGCTGGCTTCCCCAGACTTTGGTTGTGGGAAGCCAGCAGGAAGTTGCCTTGCCTAACAACTGTGGGATCTGGTTAACAATGGCAACTGGGACTGCAGGCATTGCTGTCACTAAGCGATGCGGTTGGACTTTACAATGGAAATTCCAGTCTCAATTGCCATTGTAAACCGAGGACTACCTGTAATCCTTAAAAATCATAGGCACCAGTCAAAGCTACCTGTTATTTCTTTGCAACTTTATGTCAAATAAAACATACACATGTATGTTAACATATTATGCAATATAAACCCTTATTGTCTCCTGTTTGGCAAATGCGTATCCCATTGATTATACTCCCACATTATGCAAAACCAAATATTTATTGTATGTTGTGCTCAGTTGTTGGTACCTGAATGCCTATTACCACTTTTATCACCTCTTCTTCAGCAAGAAAGGCCTGTTTTGACTGTGTCTGTAAATGGCTGGTTTGTGAACAAATCTAGCAAAAGAAGTCAAAAGAGTTCTGCTGCAGTTGAACACAATTATTTGGCCACATTAAATTGCACCGTGACAATGCATCATGCCTTCAAAACTTCAAAAATCCATCTGCATGTCTTAAAAAAAAAAAAAAAAGGAAAATCAATTTTAAACACTATTAAGACATACTGTGAAGATACTTCATATGTTGTACAACAGATTATATCAGCCATTCCCAATCTGCAAATGCCTGAAAGATACAGATTCCTTTCCTGCATGGATAGGACGTGGCTGCTGATGGGAGTTATAGTCCAACATACCTGGAAAGGCTGTTTCAGATGGTTGCTAATATGGAAGGCAGTGGGGGATATTCTGCAAAAGTCTTTTTTCTTTAAACGTGAAAACACAAATGATTTGAAGATGTCTACAATTTTTCACAATAGGCAATAAGTGGCAACCAGAGTGTATTTAGGCCCTGGTGCAAGTACTCGTCACTTGAAGCCAAACTATATACACAATGACTATGCAATGCTTTGGACTAAATTCCAAAAATGTGCTTTAGTGTGTGCGGGATTGCAAATATAGCACCTTTTTGCAGCTCTTTAAAGCAGACCCATCCTTTCCCAGGATTGTATAGCTGTTCTCTCTTGATGATTTAATTATCCAAGTGTTCTGAGCTAACATGGTAACATTGAACCATAAACTGATTGTATGATTTACGCAACCCACACAGCTGCAAAATTGACTATCTATGATTCAGTATGTCATGCATACACAAGCTAAGAGTTTCTACCTCAAATAACCTCAAGCTGACATCCTTGCTCTGTAATACATAATACAATGTTTCCTCACATTGCTATACAACTACCAAGTTCACACCTTGAAGTAAGTCCTAGATTGCTTAACCAAGTTTAATTAAGCCATAATTGCTGGATTCCCACATCATACTGTTTACAAAGTATAATGCCGAGTTCAAAAAAGCTATTTTATATTTAGTGCAATGTGTGAATGCAGCTTCTCTCTCCATTCACAGTAGCCAATAATGAAGACAAAAAGGTTTGTTTATTCATTGTATCAATTTATATAGCCACCCATGTCACTATCATTACCCTGATGCCACTGAAACAATTTGGAGGTGGGGAGTTAACATCCTTCTGACTCAAGCAAGCCCTTACCACTATCTTTCAGACGTCCTTTGTAAGATTTCTCCATTTCTTCCACGAACTGTTCAAAGACTTTCACATATGGAGCTAGACTGGTTTTCTTATAATCTATTTAAAAAAACAAAAAAAAGGTGGGGGGAGGAGAAAAGACTCACCTTATTTTATTTTCAGTTCTTTTAAATTTCATCTATTTAAGCAGACTAATAGAGTGAGTTTGGGTCCCAACTCTCCATTTGCTCCATTCAGAGATAAACTCGCTCCCAGATCAGAAATGTAAGAATACTTGGTTTGACCCCAAGGACGTGCCAGATTTGATCTTGATTATGTAATTGTTGTATTTTTCTAAACATTTCAGAAATCTGATCTGTGTTACATCTCAAGAAGCCATCTGCTTTGCTATGCTGCTTATTACTATTATTATTTCATTTTATGCTGCCTTATTACAGTGTCCCTCAAAGAGTTCACAAAATACGGAGACTGGAAATGGTGAGGAAATAAGCCACTGCATCTGCTTGAGAATTAGTCATCTTTACTTCTGTTGACCCGACAGAAATTCTTGAGGTACATTCATAACAATTGTTTCTACAAGAAAAATGAGTGGGACAACCTTCATCAAATGTCTACCCTTCACACACTTCCCAGAAAAGCAAATCCCTCACAAAAGAAATGCTTGCTTCCCCTGCAATTCAACATCTGGATACATAGGAGAGGAAACAGACTACGATATTCCTTATACTGAATTAAGGATGTGTGCCCCTGGACCTCATGTTCTTCTTTTTTGCAGTGAAACTGCACCACTGGTACTCAACAGCAAATAATAACAGCATGATGTTCCACCAACTTGGAGCAGAAGGAAGGAAATGCGTTAAAACCCAAGTGGGCTTGATGCTCCTATAAAGCTTGGTTTTATTTGCTCCTTATACAGAGGGGAAAATGATCTAAAAATCACAATTCCAATGACATACAGTAGTATCAGTAATTTGCTGACTGGAGCCCTTGGCACTCTGAAAATAATTTTAGTTAAGTGTTGCATCCTGTTCCAAAAAGCTCTGCACTAAAAGCATTTCAGGTCTATAATTTTGCGGGGTCTATAACTTATATTTTATAGGGGTGTAAAATAAGAGGAATTCTACATAATTTAGTGTTACCAATGCAGCATTTCAACCTGTTCCTCCCCATATCAACCCATGTATCATGGAGATCACACATCTCCAATGTCAACAGGACAGGACTGCAACTGGCTGAAGATTTGTCCAGCTCTCTCCCACGACAGCACTCACCTCTGCTTTTACGAGAGCTTTCTGGCAGACCTTCAGCTTCCTTTCCATTCCCTTCATCTTTCCCAATCATGTCCAGCTCGTGACAGAGGTGGCTAAGAGGAATAGAGCAAATCTATTTCTAAGGAATAGAATATCTCTAAGGAATAGAGCAAAAATACTGGAAATCCCACAGAGTTTGGCCAGCCTAAATTGATTGTGATTATTTCACTCTGAGCTTGGGTCCAGTGAATTGACAATTTATGCAGTGGAGCTGATCAGTCTGCTCCTGATTTATGCTTGAAGAAATTGGCTGGGTACACCTATCTTATTGTTATTGTGTTTGGTCTTCTTTGGCTTGAACTGCTGAGCGAACCTAGCCACTGTGATGTGTAAACCAGAGGATATGGTTTAATCCAGCCAACTGCTGATTATACAACAAACTGTGGATAAGGAAGCCATAGCTTAATGTGATGTGTGAATGTAGGCGCTATACAATTCCTACACCTTCTAGGTGCAAGTTTGTCACTCACTCCAACGAGATGGCCCATACCTTATAGTGGGAACAGCAAATGGATCAAAGTCATCCAATTTCTTCAGGTCAATCGGAACTGAAATGCGCCCTGAAAAAGGCCAAAAGCAGCATTACTCTCTCTTTAAAGGCTGTTGGTGGGAAGAGAGAAAGCACGCAGCAAGGGACTGCGCTTCTGAACAGCTCCACAAACTGGTCAAATCTCCACATGGAAACTTCTTTGGATTTTGGAAAACTGGCTGTACTTTCAGTATCCTTGGTGTCTAGAGGTCTTTATCTTCCTGCCACAGGTATTCAGAGTAAACACTTTGCATCAGTGGAGTTGAAGGCAGGGCCCCACAACCCTTTCCTATTAATACAAGATGACTCATTGAGTCTTCCGTATTGGAGATAGCATTGAGAGAGCAATATTTTCACATAGTGTGCTACATATCACCATCTTGGCCCGTGGAGGTTTTTTCAGTAGTGTCACAGTACCACTTACTTATAAAAAAGGATCAGGGTTTCGAGAACATGTGAATCTTGAAACTATCCAAAGCAAAGTCCCCTGGTTTCCCCAAAATGCTCCTAGAAAGGTGAAAATATTCCACTTTGGCTTGGTCAGTGGGAGGGAATGCACTTAAAAGGTCAGACCTAGGAAAGGGGAATGAGATAGGAGATCCAGAAAACCTGTCTTATTTTCTGCTTTTTGATAGCACAAGTTAACAAAACTTCAGAAGTGGCTATTCCCCTAGCAGTAAGATTGCTCTATCATTCTATTGCTCCACTAAGAATTCCAGCTCTGTTCCTTATCATGAATAAGTTTGTCATCTCATCCAGGCAAATAATTGAACACTCAGGCATATGGGAGGCAGTGATAGCAGCTGTACTTGAAGGACGGTTGGAGGTGATATTTTAATGTTGTACTATACCCAAAGCACATGCTAAAGCATCACTCCAGAGCATTTTGGGAAACTCAGAACAGTAGCTCCAAGATTAAGCCTCTTAACACGGAAGAGCCAAAACACGCTTAAGTGTTGGTTGGCTCTTGGATTCCAACGGCTCTTCCTAAAATGACATGCTAATATAGGATTTATTAAATGCCTAATAGGATTCTCACTTTAAAATATTACTTTATATTGATTAAAACTCATGAACCCCACATGGACAGCATGCCCATTCTATAGTTATTGTTATATCTTATTATATGCAGGACCCATTTTCCACCAACTGACACTTTTAGCTATCAATTCACATTTGATTATTGCAGCATTATTTCTTCCAGCTGCTCATAACTGAAAACATAAACAGGGAAATGAACATTTCAGAACCAGCAGAAGGAATAACTGGTATGTTGGACAAAGCAATATATTGTTACTAATGAGGCTTAAATCCTCCGTTCCCTATGCTCAATGTTGCATATATAGCATTACCTTATTTTATCTTCCAAGAAGCCTGAAAGTAAGCCAGGCTGAGAGATAACTTGCTAAATTGGCTTCTTCGATTAGAGAGAAGACAGAATCTACATTTACGGCTGACTGGAAACCCCTTATGGACTTTTTGCATACTACAGAAAAAAATGCACTTATAACTTGCGGTTTTGATGATTAGGAAAAAATGAGACAATAGAAAAAAGTGAGTTTTTTTTTTTTTTTTACAGAGTAAGAGATAACTTTGTAATCAGACTTATATTTGCTGCAAAGAAAATCAGAAGCTTTTTCTATTTTTTTTTATGCTTTTGTCTTTTCTTTTTGCTATTTTTTCTTTGTTTTCTTTATTCTGTATTAGTCTGTGATAGTTTTTATGTTCTCTCTAAAACATAAAATTTTAATAAATTTTCTCTTTTAATAAAATTTGTACCAACCCTCCCCCCCAAAAAACAAAAACAAGAGGCTCAATATCAAGCACTAATCTTCATGGGTGAAATGGATTCCCTGAGTTTCCACATCCAGCTTCAACGTTCCATCATTATACGCTCCCATCGGATTTCTATCAAAAGGAAAAATGCAGGAACACAGGGCAGCAGCTGACCTACCTGTCTTTGGGTGAACGCTGAAAGGGCTCTTCAGCAAGTGATTGATGCCTTTGCTAACGTTCATATCCAGGCGGGGAAAGCAGTATTGCAACATAATCTCCCTTTCAGTGTGTAGCATTTTCTTCAGAATGAGAGAGAGAAAAGGGTTAATGCAGAGGAAACTGCCCTAGATCAAGACAACTGCCCAGGTTTATCTTACTCAGTACTGCCCAGGCAAACCAGTTTATTGCTTTTCTGGGATTTCAAGCGAGTCTTTCTCCTTCCTGCTTGGAGGCACTGCAGACTGAAACTTGGGTGTTTTGCATACAAAGCAAAGACTTCCTGTACTACTGCTATTACTACTAATTATTTACATATTTACATATCATCATCACTTCCTGTTATAACTACTCTCATTTTATTGGTTTCCAAAGACCCCAAAGCAGCCCTTGACTCAAAAAGTCTGCACCCAAAATCCAGGGCACCTTCACAAGGCAGAAGCACCAGGGTTTGATAGCAAAGTGTTCCCCAGTCTTGAGTTACTGGCCTTTTCAGCACTACACTAAAATTGGAGTCCCACTATTAACAAAGTTCTACTCCCACTGTCAAATATGTATATACTATTTTCTTCACCTTTTTTTCCAGAACTTCCCAGCGCTGCACTGAATTGTGCTTTTTATGGAATTCCTTCCGAAGTTCATCTCGGTCTGGTGGCAGAATTGCTAAGGACTTTCAAGGTTAGACTCTGAAGCAAAATAGCTAACTTCCTGATATATGTGCCCCCCCCCCAGGGGAACAGCTCTGCCTTCTTTCAAAAAGACCTGCATGTAAGTCTTCCGTGCCTTACGTACATCTGATGTGCCCACTTCAGAAGCAAATTGGTTCTAATTAAGTCAGATATCAGAACAAAATAATGGATGTCAGGTGTCATTTGGATATTACCGTTGGACGCTCATTCCGACACTCCCCTAGTGGATATGCAAAGGCTTCCCCCTAAGCAGAACCCGCCTGCATGTATAGTAAGATTCCTCCCTGCAGACCATCATGCTGTAAATGTGAAGATTCTTTCTTCACTTTAAGATGATGGGTTCCTCACTGATCCTTGAGTTTTTGTCTACACAGACAAAGGTCATGCTTAAACAGGTCTCATAATGCATCTGCATCCTCGAGTCCATTTCCATGGGACTTCGTTGCAATTAAGTCTGCTTAGAACTGATGCTTTAAACTGTACAGAAACCTTGTCTATGTGTGTTACTAAATAAGTTGAGAAGAAAAAGGCAGAGTGCTGAGGTGGCAGAACAGAGTCTGCTATTTCCTGTGCATGTGGGCATGTCCCATTTTGGAGCAGCCCCCCTGGAAAAACTCTCTTCAGTAAGAAAATAAGCCCAGCAGGAAAAGGACAGGCCTGATTATTCTTGACCCTTTCTATCTGAACATACTGTTCTACTGCCACAAATAATTGGCGAAGGTTATCCTAGGAGCTGATTCCTTCTAGGATATGGGTAGGGAACCATTAGTCTTCCAGTTGTTGCCAAAATACAATTCCCATCATCTCTATGCCAGCTTGTAAGTTGTAGCTTAACATCTGGAGGGTAACATGTTTCCCACCAAGAAGCTTGCTTCGTCCTGCCCAACCTTCCTGAAAGAGGCCTTAGCCAGGGATTAATAGTTAATGGTTCTGTGTTGATGAGGGTTTTTTGAGGGAATGGGGGTTTATTACACTCTGTTAGAAATCATTCTACTTCCTGGCTACTGTAGCAACCCAGATGGTTGTCTGTAGATATCTGGATTAAGTTTTATACATTGTCTTGACTGTTTATGGGTAGCGTGGCCAGATAGTCATACAAAACTGTTCTTTGCCTATTTTTGTACAATCTATACTCCTTAGGTCTTTCACAGTCCCAAAAAGATATTCTCTGGAACCAAAGCTAGCACTTTTTCACATTTCTCTTTATTTCCAAGAATGTCCTGACCAACAAGAGCATATTCTTCGAAGTAACGTGTCACCACATCCAATGATGCTCTGAAAGAGAAGAGAGGAGAGCATCAAGAAGACAAATGGCTCCTGAATGTTTTAAAACTTTGTAAGAGAGGGAACTTCAGGCACATGCAACTTTCTCATGCAGAGAAAAATAAAACAGCTTCTGCTGAAATCCTCTCATTAGCATTTAGTTTGCTCCTGCTTGAAACTGGAGACTTTATAGCATTACAGGGTGTGCAAAGCAGCATGGCCCAATCCTACAGCAAAACTACCTTCAAGTATGAGGACGAAAAGGCATGGAAAGAGCAAGACTTTACTGTGCAGTTTTTGACAGTATGCTAAGCACTTCTTTCAGAACCTGTGTGCATATGCAATAAAGTAACATAAGAAGTGCTAAACAGTACATATGATCTGAGAATCCAAAATGTAAGTCTAAGGGGAAGAGATAGTTTCTTCATCTCAGCATCGGGTGAATTAGACAAAAGATTTTAACCAGCACATTCATATCTTTGCCTGGAGACCTTTATCCACCTGCTCATTCAAATCAGAGTCATCATCAGGATGGCATTAAATAAGTCACCCTTTTTGGTTACCAGGAATAGCCAACAAGCTTTCCTGTGGTTACAAATTTCAGAATCTACACTAAGTTTTGTCACTGCGTCCTCTAGAACAGCGGTCTCCAACCTTTTTGGCACCAGGGGCTGGTTTTGTGGAAGGCAATTTTTCCATAGACTGGGGGGGGGGGATGGTTTCAGGATGATTCAAGTGCATTACATGATAGGGTTTTGATATGAGCCTGCAAGCAATCAATTTATTATGGTCTCTGTGCAGTCAAACCTCTCTGCTAATGATAATCTGTATTTGCAGCCACTCCCCAGGGCTACCATCACTGCCTCAGCTCCACCTCAGATCATCAGGTGTTAGATTCTCATAAGGAGCGCACAACCTAAATCCCTCGCATGCGCAGTTCACAGTAGGGTTCGTGCTCCTATGAGAATCTAACGCCGCTGCTGATCTGATAGGAGGCGGAGCTCACGTGGTAATACGAGCGATGGGGAGCGGCTGTAAATACAGACGAAGCTTCGCTCGCTCGCCCGCCACTCACCTCCTGCTGTGAGGCCCAGTTCCTAACAGGCCACAGACTGGTACCGGTCCACGGCCCGGGGGTTGGGGACCCCTGCTCTAGAAAGCAGAAGCCGAGTTGGAAAACAGACAGCTGCAGTAGGTGGTCTGCTGTTTAGCCACATCAAGAATGGCATCTATCCTTCTGATTCATACAGCCACAATGCAGCGTGCTTTATTTCTTTATACTTCTTTATTTGACTTGATGCCACTTGACTCCAAGTGAGACTAAGCTCCTGCTTAGACCATGCTTGCTTATACCTTAGCGATTCTCAATTCAGTTCAAAGCTGCTTCAGCCTGGAGTGGGGCATTCACGGCCTCTTAATATTGTTGAACAGTACCAGCTATCATTGCCCAAAATAAGGAAGTTGTAATTCAGCAACATCTGGAAGGCTCAAGGCTCCCCATTCCTAGTGTTGTTAAATAGCTTTTAATTGGAAGCTGGAAGGCACAAAGTTCCACTTCATAGTACCTGCACATGTTGCAAACCCAAATATTGCATTAACTGACCTGATGAAAGGATGAATATAGTTATCTGAGAGGGTCACTTTCTTGATGGTTCCTTCACCACCCTAGAAACGTTCAAGGAGAAGCAAAGTTAGAGTCTGTTTATGCCTGCTTTCCTCTTCTTTGAAGATGAAACTCTTAATGGCTCTTTTGGCTACACATGTCCCAGAATTGGGACATTGTGCTGAATCTTCTGCCTTGCTTGCCTCTCGTCCCGACATTTCAATTGCCCCTTATGGGACCACCAACTTAGTTCAGCATCAGGATCAACATTAAAAAACCTTCACAGTGGCCTGGAGGAGGAGCTAAGGGTAAACTTCAACTAGCCAGCAAGCCAGCATTTCCTTAGTTTGGAAATTGATTCCTGAACAAAGAGAACATACTGAATTGTTTCACATTGTTTCTGCCTAGGAGAATCAAGAAATGGCAGCCTCAGGCACCAGATTAACCATGATTGATGCACTTAATTATTTGCTGGTGAAATGGTTAGGACTGAAAGCATCTGCTGGAGTCCTGTACCTTTAACAGGGATAGGGAAGGTGCAATATTTAAAAGTCCATATTTTCTGATTTGCACAAGTGCTAAGAATGCCCTCTTCCACCCCATTATTAAAAATATTGGAGCCTCATCTTCCTGTACATCTGGTCAACCTGATAAGGCATATAATTGCCTTTAATTTAAAGGGTAGCGCTAACAGCTAAGCAAACAGCATTTTGCACTGAGAAATCTAAACAACATATGCAGGAAGTGGGAGAGAACAGAAAAGATCTACACTGATTCCTGAACATGGAGAACGCACTGAACTGATTCATACATTGTGCTAAGCCTTGATTTGTTGAATAAACTGGCTGGAGTCACACACTGCACTGTATAAAACTGTATCAATGGTTTTGAAAATAGAGGTGGCTAGACTCACATTGTGCCAAGGCAAAACTAAACAAGCCATATTGGCCTAGCACATTATGGGCTATTTCTCTGTGTCTCAAATAAGAACAAAATGACAGGTTCACGTGACAGCGGTGTAACCAAGCATCCAACCTGTGGAACTGCACTCACACGGGCAGCTATTTCATAATCTTATTGCTCCTCCTCAAGGTTCTCACATTTTCTATTGACTTCTTACTTTTTTGCCAATGCCCCAGGATTTCAAAAGAACACATTTCTGGCTCCAATTTACTGATTCTCTGCTTTTCCCATTAAACAATTAAAGAGGCAGAAAACCTCTTCTTGAAAGATTTCCATTCTAAGTAGCTGTGATAAAAATACCAACAATGCATTACAACAGATATTATGAACTTTATTATAATAAGAATTTCCTTCTCTTGTTTTCATGTTTTCTTCTTCTCTCCCATTTTCTCTTTTTGTGTGCTTTCTTTTCAGTTTGAAAGAGTGAGGATAGGAAATGCAGAGTTTTTACGGATCTATAATCCATTCTGGGAATCTTTGTGGCTGAAGAATGGATTAAAAATAACGTAAGTAAATCAATAGCACTTCCATTTACTGTTTTTCCTCTTTCCAGACGCACGCTCTGATATAACAGCCTATTGCCAAGATTGTACTTGTGGGTGATTAATTCCCGTACCCTTTCAGTGTGAAGGTCTACCTATTTCCCTCCATAAATGATGGATA